CCATCTCTGGTCCATGATATTGTTGGTATTGGAATCCCATCGGCGTTACAAGATAAAGTCACGTCATCTCCTTCTTTTTTTGGTCCCGTTTCTGGATGATCAGTAATCTTTGGTGGATCTGAAACAATAATATCTCAGAAATTAGTATCACCCAACTAGTAGACTGATGCAAATCCTGCATTTTAATCGGCTACGCTACTAGAGGACTATTAGTAATAGTCCTCGAGTAGCGAAATTGGCGTAATGGAGCGTGACGCTTTCTTTCGTTTTATTCCCACTGAATAAATATTTCTTCAACCTGCATTAGCTAACTTTATTATTGCCTTTTCTGTCCGACTAATTGGGTGATACTAAAACAATTAGACCCTTCGCCCCCAAGGGCCACGGATCAATAGCCCATTCGGCTTCGCCTCAAGGGCTATTGACTATAAGGGCTATATCAAGGGCTATTGACCCGTAGCCCTTGCGGGCTACGGGTCTAATTGTTAAATAGCCCAAAGAAAATACGCGCGCTGATTGGTTTAAAATCGTGTTTCTATTTAACAATTTCTACGGAGGAAGTGTCAAACTTGTGAATTTTATTTGGTGTACCGGGCGAAACGTTCGCCACACATGGTCGTAATAGTGCCCCTTCATTAGTGCGGCCAGTTTTCGATACAAGAAACAAATTGCATCTAAACGGCAGCTCGTTGAAGAGAAAATAATCAGTATCCTTTGATGTGGAGCGTGACAGATGGAATACGTTTATTTCTGTCCTCTTACTGAGGTAAATCTCGTCATCACTTTGTCAAAGTACTCTGTGGATCAACTCGACAACGGTCGGTGGACCCACACTTATTTCGACAATATTGTAACACTCCAAATTCACTCGAGCTCGATGTGTACACTCTAAAAGCACATGGTTTATTTCTAACACACTTCATGTGAGTCACACTAAATATATCATCTAACAACTACTTCGTGTGAGTCGCACAGGATATAACANGAGACTTTGCTCCCGTCATCTTCGCGATAACCTTTCTTTGTACAGTTAGGTACGCAGCAATGCGTTGGCATTTTCCACTTCTCACACACGAATTTACAAAAGAAAAGTAAGTTTGAGTTGTACAAAGAACAGAGAGTCAAGCCAGTTTTTTATACGTGTTCCAAAGATGTGGAAAACATTACCATAATTTATCGCTTGAGCGACGCCATGTTTTTATACGAGGCCTTTCTAGCCTCGCTTTGAT